CTTTATGGGATATGAGGCCATGTCTAGTTCTAACATGTTATTCTTCTATGACAGTTGGTCACACCTGGTAGGTTTCCTTTAAATACTATGGATAATTGTAGGGTTTTGCCCAGATTTTTTTTTTCCTAAGGAGGTCTATCCTCTATCATAAGATTGCATTCTCAAGTTCTCTAGCAGTTGCTGTTGGAGACCACTAAGGGATCACCATGAATCCTGTGTGTCAGGCTGAGTCATTTTCCTAATAATTAAAGAGATTTCCTAGGCTAGTGTGACCAATGCAGGCCTGGACAAAGCATTAATGAATCATCCTGGAGGTTGAGTGGGAAATACTTTAAAACAGAAAATAATCAGAAGTTCTGAAGCCAAGAATGTGTGGATATTTTTATCGAAATTGAGCCATTTTTTCTCACTTCCCTTCCTTCTCTCTTCCTTCCTTCTTTCCACTCTATTTCTCTCCCTTTACAATTTCTCTTCTCCCTGTCTTTGTCTTTATCTCTCTTTGTTAAGCTTTTTTCTTTTTTAACATCTTAATTTATTAATTTGTTTTTAACATTCATTTTTAAAAATTGAGTTCCAAATTCTCTCCCTCTTTCCAGCTTTTTCCCCACCCACCAAAAAAGCAAGCAATTTGATGTCAATTATACATGTGAAATCATGTAAAACATATTTTAAACATTTCTTAAGAAAAACCTTCTATGATAACCTCTGAGCCACTTCCAATGGTCATAGTTGTCTTTTTTTTCCTGAGATACTTTTAATTTTCTCCATTTGTCAATACTTTTTAAAAAAAAATCTCTCAGGTTACCTGATAAGTTAAGACAGTTGTATTCTGTATGCATCGTGGCTCTGGTTGGTGCTTTCCTTATCAAATAAAACCCAGAAGTGAATTTTATTGTACCATGTAAACTTAATTGATCCATTTTCTTAACACTGTCTTTTTAGTTAGTATTTCATCCCTTAATTAATTCATAAAGCATTTTTCTCAGCGTGTTTGCTCAGCTTCATCATTTGTAAAGCAACTTTGTAGAAAAGTATGTAGTTGGACCTAAGCAGAAACAATAAGGCAAATGTCTCTATTACCCTTCTTTCATTGCTACAAAGAGTTGATATGGATGGAATACAGGCATTGGACTCCTATGCTAAATGCATGTTCTCTCTCTCTCTCTCTCTCTCTCTCTCTCTCTCTCTCTCTCTCTGTCTCTCTCTCTCTCTGTCTCTCTGTATATGTATCTGTCTCTCTCTGTCTTTTCCTACATCTCTGTCTCTCTGTCTGTCTCTCTGTCTCTGTCTCTCTCACCCTCTCTCTCCCTCCTCCATTCCTCTCTCTCTCCACATCCCCCTACCCACCTGTTTCTATTGCCTGATTATCTTTTCCCCCATTTTACCTACAGATTTTATGACTGCCAGAGTTACCACCTTTATCTGTTATCATAAATGTGCACACCTGCTAGTTATTTTGTATCACAGCACACCTGCCAAAAGAGAATGGGTGTCCTATTTCAAACAGATTCTCCAGAATTTGTCATTAAATATTATAATAGAAGCAATAAAATGACTTGGGTTACAACCTAGGATTTCATTTGCCAGTAACCGTCAGAAAATTCTCCTTTTAAGACACTTGAACTATTTTAATCAGGGAGGTATACCAACTTTAGCTCCCTCCAGCCCAACTTTTTTTTCAACTTAGGAAAAGTCTGCAATTTTAAAAACAATTTTCCTTCAATGAAAAGTCAGTTCGTTCAACTCAAAAGGGAACCCAAATAGAAATGAATATAGAACACCATGAATTAAATATATGTCTGTCTCTGAGAGAAGCTTTCTTTTCATTGAGTATTTTTCACTAGATATACATGGTCCTAGCTGTGGGGCACTATCTATCTAATTGACTTTCTATTGTCTGTCTGTCAACCTCTCACTCACATATATATGTATATATGTGTGTGTGTATTAATGTGTGTAATTAATGTGATTGACTACATTTGTTAAAGTCTGTGAGGTTGAAATGTGGCCAAGAAACATTAGCCAATTACTCTTCAATAACAGAATGCAAATTTATTTCTGTATATATTATATATATGTAAAATATTCATTGAAGAAAGACAGTAAATATATATGACATGTGTGTATGAGTATACACACACATCTGTATGTATGACTAGGGACTGGACTTCTGATTTCACCGGTACAGGCAACTCCCAGGAGAAGTTTCCTCTACTAATGCAGGTCACCATAATCTTTCCAACTTAGTCTTAGAGTATTACTTAGAATAGAGTTGCAAAACACACTGTGAGGTATTATGACCTTCAACACAGATGTGTCCAGAACCTGATTAAAATGTAATTGGGAAACATTTAATAAAATAAATAAAATACAGTAGAACATAGATCATGTTCGTGTATGATTTTCTAAGTCAATGCGTGGCCAGCAGGAATTCTGCAGTAAGGTTTGGTGGCCCCTGTTTCCATCTGAGTTTGACATTGCTGACTTGGAGTACTTAGAAATTAAGTGACTTGTCCAGCATCACACACCCTGTATACATCAGATGTGAGACTTGAATCCAGATCTTCCTCACTTCAAGGCCAACTCTTAGTTCTCTAGTCGCTATGCCATGTTGCATCATAAACACATATACACATATATACATATATACATGTAATTAATGTGCACATAAAATTTATGTGTAATTACTCCAGTGGGTTCAGATCATATTAACATGTTTTGCTTAAACCTTCTTCGTATCTGTAAGGTACATAAGTAATGGAATCATTAATCTCATTTCATCAATGGGGAAATTCAAGCAAATTGTGCACTTGTGGAGGGAAAAATGAGGATAGGACCTCATGTAGCATGTAGCTTGGTGTAGTAGAAAAAGCATTCGGCTTGATGTCAGGAGAGACCTGGGCCTGAATTTTATCTCTGATCACATTAGTTGTGTATAAATAGGCAAGTTATTTTACCTCTTTGACCATCAGTTTCCTCATCTGTAAAATGGGAATAATAACACCTGTAGTACTTACCTCACAAAGTTTGCAAGAATAAAATGAGATAAAAGGTGTAAAACATTTTGTAAACCTTAAAGTACTATATAAATTCAGTTATTAATATTTTAAGCAATAGCAGTGTCCCGGTAGTATCGTACTAACTCAGAGGCTAATCAAGGATTCAGTATCTTAGAATGATAGAATGTTATTTCTGTAAAAGGCCTTGGAGTTCTGTTCAGTGGCATTTGGCATAACCTATGCTTCAGGCTCTTTTCCAGAAAGAGAGAGTAGCAATGGCTTGTCTCCTTTGGGAACTCAGCCCAGTGGTGTAACAAAATGGGAATTTGCTCAGTCTTCATTGTGGAAGTTCTGGTCAAAAAAAAAGGAGAAGAGGAGGAGGAGGAGGAAGGAGAGAAGGGGAGGAAAGGAAAGGAAGAATAAGGATGATGCTGATGATGTCAGGATGACTGCACTATGTGCTACTGATGGTTCTTGAATTGAATTAATGTCAATGAAATTCCATGACTCTATTGACTTGTACAAAGACATAGACAGCATGCTTCCCAAATTGCCAGATGTCACAAACCTGAAAGGGACACCTGATAAATTAGATGATTCAATTATGATTCAATTGTAATTGAAAAATATTTCCTTCATCTGGAATGATGCACTAAACCTAATAAGATAAAATACAATTGGGATACATTTGGATTAAAAAATAAACTATATAATTATATGATAGGGAAGATAACAGCTAGATTGTGAAAGACCTCATGTGAAAGACTGTGGGGGATTTAGTGGATAACAAGGTCAACATGAGTCAACAGTGTGGCACAGTAGCCAAAAAATCTAGCATGAATTTAGGCTTCATGACCCCAGAACAAAGAAAGTGAGAGTCCCACTGTATTTTATTCTGGTCAGATCCCATTTGAAATGTTGTGATCAGGGAGGATATTGAAAAGCTGGGGCAAATCCCAAGTAAGATGACTACAGTGGTCCAAGGACTCCAAACGTGCAAAAGGAATCCATTTGAAGGTACTGAGTGTCTATTCTAGAGAAGAAAAGACTTAGGAGTGTAGGTCATGGCACATGTCTTCAAATATTTGAAGGATTACTTATTTGCATGAGGGATTTGAATTGTTTTATATGATGGCAGAGTACAGAATTAGCTCCAAGATTTCAGCACAATATAAGGAAAAACTTCCTGAGTTACGCTGTCCCAAAGTAGAGTGGCTTACTCCAGAAGGACTGTGGTGACTAACACTGTAGGTCTTCATGTAGAGGATGAATGTCAGCCAAGTGGTACAGTGGATACAGAATGCTATGCCTGGAGTCAAGAAGACCTGAATTGTCACAGACACTAGCTATGTGACCATGGTTAGACTTAATTTAATTTTTCTCAGCCTCAGTTTCCTCAGCTGCAAAATGGGGATAATAAAACCACCTACTTCAGGGGGTTATTTTGAGGATCAAATGTGGTAGAATGTGTAAAGTCTTTTGCAAACCTTAAATCACTATTTACTGTAAATGTTCACTATCATCTTTGTCGTCATCATTTCCAGGAACTTCGTAGGGCAGGATTCTCTTTTAAAAATTAATTGAACTGGAACACCTCTGAGGGATCTTCCAACTCTGAGATTCTATTAATGGAATGGAGTTAGGAAGGTCTCTAAATTTAGAGATATATAAACTGCTTAGTAATCACTGAAGGGACCAGAGAAGAAGAAGCTTCAGGTATAGAAATAGAGACTGTTAGGAATAAAGCAGATCTCAAGGAAAAGCAGAATTTTATGATGTCAGAAAAGTTAATTCCTCTGAGAGCTTTTTAGCCTCTTGATACTAAATAAGAATTTTTCTTAATTGTTTTTGTTTTAAACCAATTTGCACAAATTGTGCCTTATTGAAATATTAGAATGATAGAAGAAAGCCAGTTGAGCCAAGACAAGGGGGGAACTCAACTATGAGACAACAATGATTCTCCCTTTACGTCAACACTTTTCTTTTTTTCTTTTTCTGCAGGTCAGCGTCTTAACTACCCTAGAGCGGAGATTTAACCTGCAGAGTGCTGATGTTGGTGTAATCGCTAGTAGCTTTGAGATTGGTAACTTGGCCCTTATCCTCTTTGTGAGCTACTTTGGAGCCAGAGGACACCGGCCACGTTTAATAGGGTGTGGTGGAATAGTCATGGCCTTAGGAGCTCTGCTTTCTGCACTGCCTGAGTTCCTGACCCATCAATATAAGTATGAGGCTGGAGAGATCCGATGGGGAGCCAAAGGACGGGATGTGTGTGCTGCCAATGGGTCCACCAGCAACAAGAGACCAGACCTGGAGCTAATCTGCAGGAATAGGACTTCCACAAACATGATGTACTTGCTTCTCATTGGTGCACAGGTCCTACTGGGGATTGGTGCTACCCCTGTGCAACCTTTGGGAGTCTCCTACATTGATGACCACGTGAGAAGGAAAGATTCTTCCCTGTATATAGGTAAGAATGATTTAATATTTTGGTGAATGGTGCTGCAAAATACCTTTTTTCTTTTCCTCCTTTCACTACATCCAAGGGATTAGTAATCAAGAAAGGGGAAACAAATACATCAGTTCAGGGTTTTTTTTTTGGTTTTTTTTTTTTTAGTGTGATAACACCTGGTGACCTTTTCTGTATGGAATTTAGTCTCCTTTAGAATATTTGACTTTAACCACCTTATTAAACTTCCAGAACCTATCCACCAAGAAATACAGCATGTATATAACATAACTGAACCTCATTCTTAGCACCCCCTCTAACTATCTTGATACTCTAACTCAAAATGAAAGGTTTACGTTATTTAAATCTTAGCAGTTGGTGCCACAGAAAGCAAGTTTATTTTTGTTGTTATCTTCTGTCCTGGAAATTATAATGCTGTTGCATAAAGAAATTGGATAGTTAGAAAATAATTGCGCATATTTTTTGCTCTATTCATTTTCAGTGTCCTATACTTCTTAGGAATAAGGTGAAGTGTGCTTAGCAATTTAACAATTTCACATCGATGGTCCAGTACCATCATTCTTCATGGAATAGGCAAAATAATTGTGTAAAGCTTAAGTCAAATGGAATCAACTTGAATGATTCTGGTCACTTGAAGAACTCTTACAATACAAGCAAATAGGCATTAAAGTAGGTTTGCAGTTCTTTTTTTTTTTTCTTCTATTGAATATATGTAATCTCATGTGTCTGTGTACTAGGCATTTATCTAATTCTTATATTGCAGGTATAGAGATAACAAAGCATCTCCATCCCCAGTTTTATAAATTGAGCTTACATCTTAGTCAAATTATTTGACTGTATTGTCACCTATCCCACCTCTCTTTGCTCTAAGCTTTGGGTAAGAGTACCTCTAAGTTTAAATTCTTTGACCAAAGAAAATGGAAGGTTAGTTATTATGTAAATCATAGCACATTGAAGTAAGTTGGCAATAAAAAGTTCAACTCTTGCTATGAAAGATAAATAATCTGGAAAAGGTTATTTAAAAAAACCCTGTAAGTCATATGAGCTTTGAATTACATTAGAGTGGAACTAAATAATGGGTCTAAAACCCCAGGACAGGTAAGGCATTTACTCAGAAATCTTGTCCAGTAAAATGTTCTCTGACACATGGTTCAGTGATACTTCTTCACAGTAGATTAAGACCAGATGAGACCAAGGTTGGTTAGGCTATAGGGTAAATATATATATTTTGGTTGGTGGGTTCCCTCTGTTGAATGAAGAATTTTTCAGTAGTTCTATCAACCATTTTGTGGTTCTCAGTAAATTCTTTTTGGAGGGAGGGATAAGGAAGGAGAAGAAAGGTCCCTTTTTCCTCCCTACTCTGTGCAGTGCAAAAGGATTCCAGAAATGTGGTCATCTGGATACACCATGAACCTTTTGGTTGTTATCAATCTACTGATCTACCAGCATTTTTTTGAAGTTTGTGTTTATGGTACCAGGTACTGTGACAGGCATTGGGGATGCAAAGATAAAAATAAAATCGTCCCTGTCCTCAGGGAATTTATATTTGGTCAGGGAGAACAAAATGTACACATATGCAAGTGTATACAAAATAAATAAAAGGTATTTGATGGGGAAGTGGTAGGGCACCAGTATCTAGATGAGCATTGAGGGTAGAGAGTAGGATGGTTTTAATTGGTCAAGTCCTAGTTCTTGTTCTGCCTTTCTGTACTATTGTTCTGTCTCAGAATATATTTCATGGTGTTGTCTTTATAGTTAAGAGTAGAGATTATATATCTTTCCCAAATTGGCCTCAGCAGACAACCATCTTATTCCATGCACAAACTGAGTTCTCTAGAAATGGTGTAAGAGGATCTGAGCAGATGTAGAATATGAATGATCCACTCATTTATTTTATTTATTTATTACATATTTATTATAATTTTACTTATTATTTAATTAATTTATTATATAAAGCCTCCATGTTTCTTTTCATATGGATCTCTTACGTGTTTCAATTGCCTGAGCAATTTAGCATGAATTTATGGGTCCCTGATTTCTCTTAATCCAATTCAGTCTGAATGTAAAACTAACACATCTTGTATCAAATGCAAGTTTAGAGAACTCTCATTGTGCTGGTATGCTGTCATTTTATAGAAGGGATTCTTGACCTGGGATCATGAACTTGTCTTAAAAAATATTTTGATAACTCTCAGCATAATGGATTTGTTTTGTAATCCTATGTATTTAATTTTTACATTTAAAAATGTTACTTTGAGAAGATATCCATAGGATTCATTAGACTGTCAAATGGGTCCATGACACCAAAAATTAAGATTCCCCCCCAAGGAGCCATGCAGATCCTCATTTTGAGCATTATTTTCCAACTGTTGTCAACTTTGCTTCAGCTGGTTTTTCTGAAGTAGAGTGAGATATACAATAGGCATCAATATGTGACCAAAGTTCAACAGTAGAGTCAGGATTCAGAACATTTAAAGTATTTAGTGACCAATCCTCAGTCTTCCCTAGTGCTGAAATGGACTGATTGGTGCTATCTATATACCTATGCATACAGGAGCTGTGTATACACAAGTCAACATTATCTATGTCATATTTTTACTGATTGTGCTGAATATTTCCCAGTTACATTTTAATCTGGTTTAGGCAGGCCATGTATAACCTGATCATCATGAATTGAACATCCCTGCTATAAGAAACTGTCTAAGACCACATGGTAAAGAGAACGTGCCAGCATACATTGGTAGAGAAAGTGTCTTCACCAGGACTGTATATCTGTATATCTGTGAAATCACAGGTCTAGTATCTGTTCCTGTCCTTGTCTTTATGGAAATAAGACAAGTGAGTAAATAGCTCTAACATTAGGCAAACTTAGGGCAAATCATCTAACTTTTCTGGGCCTCAGTTTCCTCATATGTAAAAGTAAGGGGTTTTATTTATTAAATGATCTCTAAGGTTCCGTCAAACTGTAAACCTTATGATTCTAAGAATACTTTAAGTTTTTTGAGATTCGTGTGATTCAGATAAAGGAGAAAGCATGATAATGTGATCTAAATAATGGTCAGCTATTCTTTATGAAGGCAAAAAAAATGAGAGGGTTCAGATCTGAAGTGGTTCATCCTAAATTAATTAATTTCTCTGAGCATTAGTTTTCTTATCTGTGAAATGGAGATAAACATATGTTCACTACCTATCTCTAAGAAGATTGTTGTAAATGAGATAATGAATGTAGAGCACTTCATATCTAGAAAATGTTGCAGAAATATGAGATGCTACTAGTAATATTACATCTTGAAGAAGCTGCCCATATCCAAGTCTTTCCCAATGCTCTTGTTCTGTCTTTTTATCAGTGGACTAGAATGGACCATTTTATAGATAAGTTATTTTCACAAGGACTTCTTTTAGATATAAGATCCGGACCAAACTATAATTATAGGAGGCTAAAGCTGGAAAGGGAACCTAGAGACCATGTAGCCCGACTCTTTCATCTTACAAAACAGGGGTCAGAGTCCTAGAAAGGTGACGGGTGCTGTCTCACCTCACATAGTAAGATTGTTAGAACCCAGGTCTCCTGACTCCCAGACTTCATAGGATCATAGCTCTAGGTCTAGAAGGAATTGCAAAGATATAATCCAAATGCCCCATTTTATAGATGAGGAAACTGAGGAACAGAAAAATTAATGACTTAACTAAAGCCATACATCTAGTATGTGTCAGAGATAGACCTTGAATTCAGGTCCTTTTGGCTTGTATACAGTGTTTCATCTATATTTTTCCTTAAGGGAAACAAATGTGTATTGTATTGGTCATGTTCTGAAAATCACATGTCTTTCTGCAGCTTGTATTAATTGCTTCTTTCACTAGGTGGATAGCATGTATCATGATCATTCTGCTGAAATTATCATTGCACTGATAGTAATTAAGTCTTTCAGAGTTGCTTCTGTTTACAGCGTCGTTAAAGTATAAATTGTTCTCCTGGTTCTGCTCAGTTCCTTCTGCATCAGTTCCCAGTCTTCCCAGGTTTCTCTGAAACCTGTCTTATCATTTCTTTATAGCATAATCCAGTGCCCATTCCATGGTACCACCTTGCACTAAACCTGCCTTTTCAGCACTAAACTTCACTCTTGATAAACCTAAGTTTATATTAATAATCAGCCCAAAAACATGGGGGGAAAGGAAGGAAAAAAGGCAGGAAAAGAGAGACTTATGAACAGCAAGGGAATGAACATGGCTGGAACCAAGGAAGGGGATGTGCTTGAGGCTGGAAATGCCAAGAGGAAAGCCTAGGGTTGAGGAAAGATTCCTGCTGTGTGACATTCTACATTCCCAGAGAGGATGCTGACTCAGTTACTTAGTTTGGCCACACGTACTGCTGATCCAAGTCAGGAAGCCGCATGCATTAGACACAAATGTGTCATGCTTTCTTTGTTTATCAATATTATTGAAGCCCAGCTGAGCCCTCCATGTTCCAGTTAATGATGTAAGAAGAATTATCATCCTCAGATTTCATTTGCCAAGTGTTTGTTTAGCACAAAGGTCAACATAATGCCAGCTTTCATCTAAAGAAAACCTAATTTCTGTTCTGAGTACTTGAAACAGTCGCTTTTGCCTCTGTGATTTTTTCTTCTTCTTCTTGACATTCAGTAAAATGTGTTTTAACTCTCTGAAAAGAGTAGACTGGGGCATAGATCAAAAACGATGTGACTACAATTCATCTGAAAAAAATAATTAAAAAAGAAATCCCTCCTGGGACTGTACATAGCTCATTATATTCTTGCAACTTCATCAATATTGAAGTTCCCCTCATTAATTTCCTTTTCTAAAATAAATGACACTGTAAAATTGGTCATTTTTCTGCCATATTCCATCCCCCTCCCCTGACAATCTAATAAAAAGATTTGATATTCCTTGAGTTTATTTTCAATAAACCAATGTGCAATATAACAACATGCTAATGGCTCATCTCTGCAATTTCTATATTGCATAACATGTAGGTACTTTCA